CCCCGGGCCCGAGGCGGCGGCGCTGCGGCTCTCCGACGCGGTGCTCAGCCTGGTGGCCAAGGGTGAGGTCCCGGGGCGGTGCGCGGGCTGGGCCCGGGGGGGCTCCCCAGCTGCCTCTTGGGTGCAGGGCAGGGGCAGGCACCTGGCCCCGCTGCAGCCCCGGCTTGGCATCCGCGCAGGGTGTGGGGTGCGCCGCTCATCTGTGCTTGCCCCTGTCTCCTCCAGGCTCCCTCCAGGCTGGGGACCGCTGGGCTTTCTCCTTCGACATGAGCCCCATCTCCGGCAGCCAGGAGGTGAAGCTGGCCGAGCTGCGGGTCCGCCTGCCACCTGCCTCGCCCGCCCGCAATGTGACGGTGGACATCTACCACCGCCAGGAGCGCCCGTGCCAGCGCAACCGCACCTGCGTGGATAGGCTTTTCCTGGGCACCTTTGCCGGGAGCCCGGCCTTCAGCCAGGCCTCCTGGAAAGTGTTTGACATCACCGGCATGCTCCGAGCATGGCTCCACCAAGGCACGGCCCCCGGCAGCAGAGAGCGTCCTGAGCCTGCAGGCATCCCGAGGCGAGGCTGGGAGGAGAGGCACGGCGGTGCCCCTGAAACGCTGGGCGCTCTGAACGTCAGTGGCTCCCAGCACGCGGAGCTGGCCCTGGCCCAGGGTATGACGGACAGGGTCCTGCTGGTTGTCTTCTCCAAAGACAGGCCTTCGGCAGAGCCCTCCCATGTGCCCACGCTCATCCGGGCGGTGGAGACCTCCAAGCACGTCATGTCGGACAGCACCTCCAGGCACTTGGGGAGCCGCCGGCACCGCAGGACCAGGAAGGAGAAGCAGAGGATTAAAATGAGTGGCATGCCTGCTCCCAGGCTGGGGGAGGAAGGCAGGTCTCTGTGCAGGAGGGTGGACATGATGGTGGACTTTGCGCAAACGGACTGGGGCCTCTGGATCGTTCACCCCAAGAAGTACAATGCCTACCGGTGCGAGGGGGAGTGCCCGGCACCCGTGGATGCGACCTTCAAGCCCACCAATCATGCATACATGCAGGTAAGGGCCATCCCTGCCCCTGCACAATGGGGCAAGCTATTGCCTAGCTCTGCACTGGGCTGACCCTGGGAAGCAGAGGCTGCTTTTGAACAGGGACTGATTCCCTAAGTCACAGCTGCCATCGGCTGCTGGTCCAGTAGCAGCATCCTAGCAGCAGAGATCCTGGCTCCAGGACTCTTTCCCCCACTCCCCCAGAGTCAGTATAGGATTTGTCTCTAGGCTGCTTAGTCTGAACTAGTTTTAATTCTTAACCCAGGCGTGTTGGGAACGTTTGGGGAATGGGGCAGTGGGGAGCTGCTCAGGCAATGGCAACCACCTGCATTAAGCCTCAGGCTAAATCCAGCACCCAAATGTTGTAGGAACCTCACATCAGCCCTGGGGCCAGCAGGAGATTGGGCAAACCCTTACAGGGTTTGGCTCCTGTGTGCGTGGCGTGGGGCTTTGCAGCTCTGTATGGTACTGTCTGACAGGCTCTGCTGTAGACCTGTATGGATGCTGAGTGGGGACTTGCCTTGCTGCCTGCAGCAGGACCAGTCACAACTGGCGTGTTAGTGCACAGGGAACTGGACCATAGTCTTGTTCTAGGCTCATGCTGTTGGCCTGGTCCCTGGCTGGGGCTGCGTGCCCAGTGCTTTCCCCGAGTCAGGCCCCTCTCAGATGGGGCCTTGCAAGTCCCCAGCCACTTAGTTCTGGTACAAGCCTGGTGGCTTATGCTTTCCCCTTCTCTCTCCTCCAGAGTTTGCTGAAGGCACACCATCCTCACCGGGTGCCCTGCCCAGCCTGCGCCCCCATCAAGATGAGCCCCCTCTCCATGCTGTACTATGAGAAAGGGGAGGTCATCATCCGTCACCACGAGGACATGATCATTGAGGAATGTGGCTGCAGCTGACTACGAGCTGTGCTAGGTGAGCCCCTGCGTGGCTCTGCTGGGGTCACCACCGTGGATGCTAACACCAGACTGACAGCTCTTCCTGTGCTGGGAATAGTCAGGAACAAGCACTGCTCAGACGTCTTCATTGTGCCAGCAAAGGTTCAGATGCACTCGCCCACAGATCAGGGGGGTCCAGCTTCCCTCCTAGCGCTCTCTTGTGGGACTCATGTTAGAGGATGGGTGGTGGGAGATAGATAACTTACTGCCATAGAAACAAGCCCCAGCCCCAACGAAGAAGAGTGGGAAGTGACTTCTGTAAGGGGAGCCCTGCAGTGGTTTCCTCCATCAGGCTTCTCCAGTGCAGCTCTGCCTGAACCAGGCCAGGAGGGACCCACAACATGCACTTGTTCCAGTGTAAATAGCTCTGCCCAAATGCTGTGCCCAGATGGATTCAGCATGGAGACCAATAAAGAAGTTTTACTGCAGTGCGTACACTGAGTGTGGACTCTAAGCACACTTGCCAAGAGATGGAAGCAATTAGTGAAGAGCAGGAGCAGCTGGGGAGGTGGACTGGCGAGAGGCAGTGTCATTGATCTCTTTGCTTCCAGGGACTGGTTCAGACAGATGAAACTGGGCATGGTTTGATGTCCAGCTACCCTCTCCCTTTTTGCCCCTTCTTGGCCACTCACTTTCCCATCATTCTCTTGGGCTGAACCCATCATTGTCACTGCCAGGGCATTCCTTTAGGAGAGTGCCTTTGTTGGGAACTTCACCCCCACAACTTCTAGTAGCCTTCTGGATGCCTCTTGCACCTTTGGAGCAAGCACAGTGACTCGGAGGAGTTCTGCTGCCTGTGGGCTATTTCTGATGAGAACTTGGGTTTGGGTAGTCAAGTTGCACTGTACAATCTTCCCCATATCTATGCACTGTACTAGTTAATTTAAAAACCCCACAAGCTAATGGGCATTATCAGTTTTGACTGTGTTACCAGGGCTTTCTGTTTTATTAGGCGTTGTGTTGTAGGTGGGTTGCAGAATGCAGGATTGTTTAAAAACACCTCTTGCACAAGCCTCAGGAACTCGCCTCTGTCCTCAGGTACAGAACCCTTGTCTTCATGTGAATGAGAATAGACCTGGCCCCTCATATAGCTACTAAGGATGCAGTTAGCTCCAACTCTGTAACCTTCTTTACTGCCCATGATTGTTGAACATTGCAAATTAAGTTTGCTTTCTTCCACATGTCCAGAATGTTCTTGCCAGTTGGGGACTCTGAGGTGTGTGTGTGTGTGTGTACTTGTATTGATACCTAATTATAATAAATTTCTATATTTGAGATTTGAAAAGCAGTCTTGTTTTCATAGCGTCGTTTTTCAGAGGGAAGGGGTCAGTTTCCTGACAACCTTGGTACAGTCCTGATCAGGAGGGCTTATCAATTTGCTGGCGAAACCAGGACAACCTCATGAAGCTGCTTTCTTTGGCTTCATTCCTGCTTCCCAGAATGTGATGAAGTGGGATTTCAAGCCCCTCTAGGCAAGTTATGCATGTGGGTATTTGAGAGTGGTGTTCTGATGCACTGATGTGCATGTGTAATGCAAAGCAAAAGGCAAGGTGGAAGGCCAAGAGGAAGCTAGTGCTATAGATATAGATATAGACTGCCCCATGAACGGGATCATCCATATGTTGATAGGAGATAAAGAACACGAAAGTATTATTTTAATGATCCACAGATCGGCCCTTGTTCTACACCAGCTTGTGAAGCACCTGCCTGCCTTGAAGAGGACAGGGGAGCTGAGTAGATTTTTCACCCTGATTTCATTCTCAGAGACCAGGAAGACAGCTGACTCTACTTTCTGAGCTATAGGAAGTGGACAGAGAAGTTGTCCTTTTGGCTGGCCTGTAAATTGGAAATCTACTGCCAAGTTTTGCACCTGTGAATTACTGTTGCTCATGCGGATCACACTGAGGCTGCTATGAGGGAAAGGGTTGGGTAAACAGCCCATCCACACCCGGCAGAGAAAGTCCAAACTCCAGATCCCGTCCTGCCATGTCACGGTGCCAACCCTCATTGTGCCTTTGAACAGCAGGTCCAAAGGATTCTGGGATGGCTCTAAGGAGAGGCCAGGAACCCTTTCCTACTGTTGCAGGGCCTTGATGACCTCCAGATTCCACATCCTCCCCCCAGCCCCTGCCAGCATGGGCCTTGGTCTGATTAACTCCAATCCACATCCAGGCACCGGATAAACAAAGCGTGTCTGGTTCTCACAGCAGAGAGCTGCCTCCTGGCATTGATCACTAGCCCTGCTTACATATTCAGACAGCATTTCACACCCAGGCCACCCAGTAATTAGAGGGTCATTTGCGGCAGCCATTAAACTGCTGGCAAAGAGAAGCCTTGCGGTGCAGTTACCCCCCCCATCCCAATTCCTTGAGTGAGACAGATTCCCCGCTATGGGAGATGGGGTTTAAAATGCAGGATGCGCGGCACTCTGCCCCCATATTTAGTGGGGTCATGGTCTCTAAATACAAGTGGGCTGGAAATTCACTTTTCTAAATAAAAGCTTAGCATCTCACGTGAGCCTGGGCCTTAGGAATAACATCAAAGACTCTAGGACTAACAATAACATTGCACTGATGTGGGGATGCACCCAGCCTAGAGCTCTGGGGCTAGTGCTGTGAATGGAGACATAATCTCTGCAGGCAAAACACTTTCCAGCCCCTGTCACCATCACCCTTTGGAGAGCCCAATACACATTAGCTGCACAAAAAAGGAACTGTGGGACTTGAAAGACCAATGCAGGGAGACGAGGGCAATTGGACTTCTATGGCAGATACTCTGGTCA